AATTTGGGCAGATTGAATTTAAGAAAGGCAATCTGCTCCATGAGATGAGATGGCATTTGTGAACGCTGTGCATTCAGTATATTACCGGTTACTGAAAACACATGCTCACTTGGGACAGTGGTTGGCCTTTACTTGACCAGGATCTTGCACCAACGGGCCTGAAAGGCGAGACAAAGACCTTGGGCTCCTAGGCGGTGAGTCTGACATTGCAGCACTACTTGACCGCATAAGCTGCGTACTCAACACATAGGCTGCATACTCAAACTAACATTACTTGTGGTGGTGGTGGTATTGGTGGTGGTGGCTGACTGACCCTCCCTCACTTTACTAGAGGATGAAAGTTTAGGAGGATCCATTTATAATTTTGAAATAGTAAGAAAAGAAGTTGAAGAAAACAAGGAGATAATGTAATGGAAAAAGTAAAGCGTGTAGTGTTTTAAAACTAATATTTATATTTTTATAAATTGAAAACGTTTTATTTAAAGTTTTGAACTATGCTGATATATAGATCAACACAGGTAAAAAAAATTTTTTTTTTTTAAAAATAGAGACTAGTACTGAGGCAGATTTCTTCACTTCAGTGCTTCCTGAGAGACTATGCAAATTTACAGCTCACTTGATGTAACTTTTATCTAAGTAACAGTCTGTTTGGACATACTGCTACACTGGCAACATTTATGTCTCCTTGTTTCTGATTCAATGCATTTTACCTATAGTAGTGGTACTGATTTATAGGATTTTTGATTCCCTTTCTATTATAACCACAGCAGGTTCACTTTAATTGATATAGAACAACTTTATTAGGTTTCCCATTCATTCCTATTATTCTTAGCCCATATCCTTTAGTCCACCAGAGAGTCTCCCCTCTATGCAGAGCCTCTAATTGTGGCTGTTTTTAATGAGATCCTTTTGTGTCCATTGGATTATTTATCCTTTGGTCGTTTACGTATTTCTCTATTCAAGTAACTTAAAGGGTTACCCCCTTCTAGGTTCCCTTATACACACCAACAGTCCCTTTTTGGGATACTTTCTTTCATCTACTTGGCATTTTACTCTTTATGTAAACCACTTTACCACAAAGTGGAGAGAGGCGTTTATTACTACTACGTTTCTTGAATTTTCGGCAACCATTTGGTAATGAACGCACCAAATTATTACTTGCCTTAAAATGTCGTAACTCTACTCACATCTTTATTGTCTGTACATTCCTCTTTGCTATACGACATATCACAGTAATTTATTACAATGTTCTCAGTCATTTAATGTATGTGCCATATTGTAATCTGAATGTCTCAGGTTTTTTTCTGAGAGAAATAAAGAATAGAAAAAAAAAAAGCCTTTAGGTTTTTCCTTAAAAATTATTATTGAGAATCGTCGTCTCATTTTTAAATTTAACTTCTGGTAAAACACTTGGGGCTAAAACAGATTTCAGATTCTCTGTTCCTTTATAAATTACATGTAGTTTTTTTTAATTAAGAGGTTTTTTTTTAAACTGATCTTGTGCTAAAATAGACCAATGTTTTTTTCATGGCTTTTTCAATTAAATGAGCCTTACTGTTGTATTTTGTTACAAAAGCCATATTAAAATCTTTATTCGATTGGTTTATTTTTATCTTTCTTAAAAAAAATCTTTCTATCAAAATTATCTACCTGTCTCTGGGATTCCTCTAAAAGGTTAATGGGATAATGTCTATTGCGGAATTTCTTATTTAAAACGTATACTTGATCTTCAAAATAATGTTCTTCAGTACAATTCCTTATAATCCTCATTTGTTGACCTTTAGGAATATTCCTAAGCTAATTTAAGTGGTGAAAGCTTGAAAATTCAATAAAACCGATTCCATCAGAGGGCTTAAAATAAGTTTTATTCTGTACATAAAATATATCTATGTTTCTTGGATGTCTGTTGTAAACTTAAATCCATATTTTTTTTAAATCTTTCTTTTATTTAAGGCATATAGGATGGGGTACAGAAGAAAGACAGTGGAAATGTATGCATAGTTACAACATGAGGTTAATACATCAATAGCATTAATACAACACATTTCCAAGGTAGTGATGCCTCATTTTTAAAATTTTTGTTGCTTAACAAAAGCGGTACTACAGTAGTTGTAAGTTAACAAGGGTAGCGTAGCCTAGTGATAATGTTGTTAATTAAACTTGTGACATGTGTATAACTGCAGCGTAGGTTTGTCGATGTGTTGCGTCTGCTATTCTCGTGGCAGCATCATTAGTGTAGGAGTACTGGTTGTTTAATCCAGTTAGTGTATATAGCCTATGTGAGTCTCCCTATAGTTCCTAAGCCTAGGGGCTGAGCTACATCAGCCTAGGCTGGCATATGTGAGCTAGATAAAAACAGGTGAGCAAGCCCAGCAGTATGGTGTATATTACTAGTAAGGTAGGCATTAGCTAAGTAAGGTCTGCAATTGGAGGCACGTAGTAAGTAGAGTCTACAGTAGGCATTTAAACATGTTCTGGCATAACTGTCTAACAGCCACATCAATCGGTTTACACTCACATAGCTTTCGCTCGCTTCCTTCCCATCCCATTCTAGTCTAGGTTAGAATGAAGTAAAACAGAATGCTTAAACATGCTAGCGCTATACTGCATACAAAGCGATAAATAATAAATTGCGTGGTGGAAACCTGATGTTTCTCCACCGTTAGGTCTGCAGGGTTATAGTCATAATCTGAGTTTCAGCCCGTTTTGTTCAGCCTATGCCAGCTCTAAGCGCTTGACAGGTGGGCCATGTATAATGAGTAGTAGTGAAAGATTGTGTATACTGGCACACTTTGATAACCAAAAACAAACAAGATAGTAGATTGTCAACAAAATTATTAACAGGGTTAGTAACCACCGGGGCTAGGGACTTATGAGGCACTATGATGAGCGGAATGTGCCTAAATAAATTAGACAGTGGGTATGTGTACAAAGTCCCGCACTGGCAAAGTCCCCTGGAATCTCCCAGGTATAAGTCCCTCTGTGTGTAGGACGGTGGAAGGGGGAATGATTCCCCGAGGTCGTGGTGTAGCACAGTGTGTTGTGGCTTGGTCCCCTGTTCACTGTGTGTCTCTGGAGGATCATCCAATGCCTCGTTTGGGCTTTATAGTTCCCTGTTGTCTGTGTCCCTGGGTCTCCGTTTGGGATCGGTGAGTGTGCAGGGGTTGATGGGGTCTTTTGGCTGTACCTTGCTGCTGGTGTCGTGTCGCCCCCAGGATGGTAGGTGCTTGGCGTGTGATCGGTGGTTTGGTAGGGGAGCCTTTTGTCACATGTTGCGCCTGTGGCACCATCTTGTTTGGGCCTTGACAGTCCCGTTTACCAGCAAGTGTTGTTGCTTGTTCGTGTCTTGCCGTGGGGGGTAATCATCCCCAGCGAGGACCAGGTTATTCCCCGCCGGTCCAGAGGGGGGGTAGCTGGGCATCTGGTAATTCTCACTTGCAAGCGGGTCCCTTGCCGGGCGATCAGCCGCCTCCCCCAGGCTTAAGGCTCTGCTGCAGTACAGGCCGCATGGCCGATTCATGTGCTCATGTATCGCTTTGGTGCATGACCGGTACCATTTTGTTCCTCGTGTGGTTCTATATCGTTTTCTGGGCACCGTGGGCTGTTGGCTTGATTGAGCTTGCCAGGATTGTCGTTTTTCTGCCCTCAGGTGCAAGAGCTCTTAGAGAGCACGTCCGGCCATTTTGGCTGTCAGGCCCCGCCCCCCAAATCCATATATTTTAATGTTAATAAATTCTAAAAAGTTTTCTAAAACTGTCCTTTGACCTTCCCAAATTATTAAAACGTCATCAATATATCTTTTCCAGGGCACCAGCTTCACGCTGAATGGGTCATTTTGCTTGAATGCCTTTTTCATGGTCAATGGCAGTGTATAAAGAGGCAACATCAACTGTTGCCCATAGATACTCTTTCTTCCAACTTAAACCTTCGATTTTAGAAATAATTTGGGCTAATCATCAATATATGATGGAGCTTGTACTACAAATTGTTTTAGAAAGAAATCAACATACTGAGAGACATTGCTAGTGAGAGATCCTATGCCACCTATAATGGGTCTCCCTGGTGGATTGTCTAGTTTCTTGTGGATCTTTGACAGATAATAAAAAAACAGCTGATTTAATAAAAAGATAATCAGATTCCTCCCTATTAATCACTTTATTGTTTAATTTAAAAGGGTTAATTAGAATGAAAAAATCACCCTTTTCCCATGTATGAAAAAAATGGAGATGTATGTTTTAAATTCAAATGTATTTTCTTCAATTTGATTTAATTTGACAATGATTCCCGAAGGTTCTTGACTAGTTCCTTCACTTTATTTTCAACATAAAGTTTGAGAGTTAACCTTCTTCAGAACTTCTGTGGATCAATAAATAGTTCAAACGAATTTGTACCTTTCTGTATGGCAAACTCCAGACCCTTATTTAGGATTTTTAATTGTTTTTTATTTAGAGTCTGCTTAGAAATGTGAAAAATTCCCTCTACTTTAGTGACATCTTTTAATCTGGCATTACAACACCATCTGTTTCCTCTAATCCTCCTGTTGCTCCTAGGAGTTTCTTTTTTTTTTTTAAGGAGTTTGAGTTGTTCATGTGAAACCAAACATTCTCTCTTGTCTCTGGGCTAACATTCTCTCTTGCCCCTTTTGTGTTTCTCTAAAAAAATCTTTTTTTAATGCCCTTTTTTTTAATGGTTAGCTTCAAATTGTTTAGAATGTCCTTTGCATCTAACCATTATCTCATACTTCTTATTCTCTTTAGAATAAATAAAATAATAATTTTGGGGGGGCCTGACCGCAGAGCTGTGATGACGCTCATCCCAGCAGCTCCTGCAAAACTTGGCACCTAAAGCCGAATTTCGCTGCCACATAGGCATATAATCGTGATTACAAGGCCACCACACTAGAGTGGGCACTGAGGTGATTACAAGGCCACCACACTAGAGTGGGCACTGAGGTTGAAGAAAACGATACCTCTCAAGCGACGACCTGATAAAAAGTCACTATGGGGCCTAACCCGGTGGGGGTTATCCTGGTCCACCCGCAACTGAACCCTGGGCGAAGCGAAGGGCCAGCACCGGCTCTGCAGATCCCGAAGCCAGCCATCCCTGTGAGCCCTAAAATGATGGAAAATTGTCATACCACTGACTCACCCAACGCATTGTGGGAAACGAAGATACGGTTGGATGGTATCTTCGCAGTTCTCTGGGTTAAACTGTGACACACTCCCCACGCACCACCACGAAGAGCCAGCACCTGCGACGGGCCCTCTCGAGGCCAATGGTGCAGAGCATTTAACCCCAGAGACCTCAAGGGTGCCAGGGAGACACCGCACGAGACAGATGCCTCAAACCGGTATAAATAATCCGAAACGACAGGACCAAAAGCGAGCCACAAAGCCCAAGACAACAGAAACTAAAGGTTGGCGGAGGGCCAAGCATCCACCTCTCCCACACACGACAGCACAGAAGAGGGGTCCGCTGAAGACAAGCATGAGACAGCCTCAGTTACCCACCGCATCGGAGGCGACCCTACACCAGTGGCAAAGCCCAGCCAAACAACCCCAAACAGACTACACCGCGACGCGGCACCACGGACATCTGCAACCCCAACGAGGTATAGGGTGAACATCTAGGGTGAATCGGGGCACTGGTTCTCCGGGCAGGGAGACCCCACATAGCACCCAAAGCCATGGCAGGAACTCTAGGTGACACACTCCTCCATCACTCTTCTATCTCATTATGTGCTGGCTTAATCAGAATGGGACTCATGCCAGGGGGATCCTAGGGGACTTTATGATTATTTTGTCCGTTTGGTTTCACCTGGTTTACTCGCTTGCTGCATTCATTTTTAACTGTTTCTCGTACCAAAACCTCAGGAGTACACTCCTCAAGACACACACTGACTCCTCTCACATGTACTCCACTAACATGTGTCCCAGACTTGCATACGCATATGGAGCCTAGTACTCACACTATACCTTAGCATTGTACCATAACATGTATCACACACTTTAGCATATATTTCATTGACCAGCTTGTTTATAATAGGAATATGCATTTCAGACTAAATCATTTATGTTAATCGAGAACCTATACTGTTGCAATTCTGCTTTCAATAACAAAAACAGTGTTGTGTCTGACTATCGCTTACCACAACCTGTACTGCAAATGTTTATTACCATATCCTGATGTCGCTGTTGTGGCGCACCAAGGCTTACTGTTACTACTGTGTACAATAAAAATAAAGAATAATAAAAAAAAAAAAGTGTCAAAGCAAGCTAGTGAGGTTAGCGATTACATTGGATCAAAATCAGTAGAATTAGGCATTAATGCAAAATGAACACAAAGACTATGTACAAAAAAATAGTAATTCATTTTTCAATAGTTCAATAATATTTCTGGAAAACCGCTATAAAATATGTATCTCTATGTGTTAAAGAAAATAATATAATATTCTATCTATATAAAAAAAAAATATATATATATATATTATTTTGTTTTTCCTCTTCTAGTTTTTCCTTTTTCTTTGTATAAAATCTTTTTCCAGTCAGTATAGCGTTAGGGTTAACCTGCCTCTAGTGACTGTCAATAAGACAGCCAATAGAGGTGCATCTGATTGGTGCAGCGTGGTGTTTTGCAGCATGTGCACTAGCCTCCCAATGCTTTTCTATGGGAAAGCAATGGATTGGCAGAGAGCATCAAGCTTGATGATCTCAACCAAGGAGGTGGGGTATGCCGCATAGAGAGCATCGAGGCATGGGAAACGAGAAAAGTTCTCTTGAGTTGTACCTCTTGAGGCACCTAAATGGTGAATAACTAGGGCCCTATAGCAGTGATGGCGAACCTTTTTGAGCCCGAGTGCCCAAACCGCAATAGATGCCAACTTTTTTTGCCTCAAAGTGCCAACACGGCAATTAAACCTGAATACTGAGGTTTAACTTTAGAAAAAAACAACACGTACAGTTGTCCGAACTAATTAACAACTTTGTTTTAAAAGAAGAACACAACAGAGAGTTCAATGGTACAAATTTTAAATAATGATATAAATAGATAAAATTAAGCTTATATGTATTAGTATCTCCAACAAATGCAATACATACACACAGACTGCTGAACACATTCCCACACCGGCCGCTAAATACACATACAGACAGACTGCTGAATACACATACAGACAGACTGCTGAGTACACACAAACTGCTCAATACATACACTGCTGAATACACAAACACACAGTCTGCTGAATACATACACTGCTGAATACACACAGTCTGCTGAGTACACACACACACACACAGTCTGCTGAGTACACACACAGTCTGCTGAGTACACACACACAGTCTGCTGAATACACACACATACAGTCTGCTGAATACACACACACACAGTCTGCTGAATACACACACACAGACTGCTGAATACACACACATACTGCATTGAGAGGTGCAGTGTATGTGTTTGTGTGTAAGGGTGTGGAGTGCTGTGTGTGAGGAGTGCTGTGTGTGTAAGGAGAGCTGTGTGTGTGAGGGGTGCTGTGTGTGTGAGGGGTGTTGTGTGTGTGTGTGTGTGTGTGTGTGTGAGGGGTGCTGTGTGTGTGTGTCTGAAGGGTGCTGTGTGTGTGTGTGTCTGAAGGTGCTGTGTGTGTGTGTCTGAAGGGTCCTGTGTGTGTGTCTGTCTGAGGGGTGCTGTGTGTGTGTGTGTGTGTGTGTGTGTCTGAGGCTGTGTGTGTGTGTGGGTGTCTGTATGAGGGGGTGCGGTGTGTGTGTCTGAGGGAAGCTGTGTGTGTGTGTCTGTCTGAGGGGTGCGCTGTGTGCGGGGGGGGTGAAGCGTGTGTGGGCGGTAGGGTGATGTGTATGGGGAAGGGGTGCCAGTGGGTGGTAGGTGCGTGGGCGGTAGGGTAGATGTGTGTGGGGAAGGGATGCTGTGGGGGTAGGGGTTCTGTGCTGTGTGGGTGGTAGGGGTGCTGTGCTGTGTGGGCGGTAGGGGTGCTGTGGTGTGTGGGGTTAGAGTTGGTGTGGTGTGTGGGGGTAGGGGTGCTGTGGTGTGTGGGGGGTAGGGGTGGTGTATATATGTAGCGGATGGCACTGGGCTGTCCTGCAAATGTCTGTGAAATAAATGCATTCGTGTGATCTGTTAGTTTCCTATGTGTTCTAAAGCCTTGTATTCTTGTGATTGTTCGGTAGTTTCGTTCCCTTAGTTTATTCGAATGAAACTACCGAACAACCAGACCTCCCCTGTGTGAAGTGTGTCCTCAATTACCCGTTGCAACATTGTTGCGAACGGGTAATTGAACAGTAAGTAGCCGTCCTTTGTTCTCGGGGGTGGCCGCCATTCGACAAACGAACACGTGGCGGCGGCCATTTTAAAACTCCCGAACAGCGGTGTTTTGCCGTCGAGTGTCTGGAACTAAAATCGGACACTCGAGTAGGCGAACACCGCTGAGACCTCCACAGCCCTTGTCCGTTCGGTTCCAAACTACCGAACGGCCCCTCGTTCGGTAGATAGAGAATACCGAACGTGGGGATTCAGGCGAACCCTCCCTAGCCTCTATAGCTAGAGGTTTTCGTGTATTTTATTCCCTTATGCCAGGACCGACCGCAGGGCCCATTCACATGGAACCGAATTCGGCTATCTCAGTTCGTGCGGTCGGTCATTTTATTCCCTCCATACTTTTCCCGAACCCCTGGTCTGATCTGGGTGATTTTTGGATATGTTGTTCACCCAGATCAGGGCTACCAGGGGATGTAGGATTTAAAGAGGTACCCCTACGTTTAGGGGTACATCCAGAAACGGGGGGAATTGGTGTACTGGATAAGGGGATTATGATGCTGGCTGAGGGGAGGAGATGTGTGGGAGGTTACCAGGACAGGATTGGCTACTGTAATAATTACTGTAATCCCTCCCTTGCATGGGAGCATGCTTTATAAGGAGACTGTGATTAAAGGCTTGTCAGTTCTGCTCCTGAAACTGTGTGTCGTCCAGTTATTGGGATTGCTGTGGGGAGGTTGCTGTTATTTTACCTGCTGGAAACTTTGCCTATGGATTTATTATTTACTTGTTCCTGAGCCTCACTTGGATTATAAGCGGAGACAACCTGGGGAATATTGCATCTCCGCTACATTGGTTGGCAGCGCTGGGATCCAGACTCACAAGGGAACAAGGAATAAGGATGGAGAGTGATTATGCCAAGCTTAAAAGATCCACGCTAAAAGAAAGATCTCCTGGAAGCGAAAGGCATTGCAGCCAGCAACAAAAAGAAAGCAATCCTCATTGCAGAAGTGATGGCTGAATACCAGCAGGAGGACAGGGTAATCCCTGAGCAACAGAGTGCAGCAGATGAAAAAGAATAGTTCCGGAGAGAGGTGCAGTTCAGGCTGTCCTTTTATGGAGAGAATCCAACAACGGATATTATATCCAGGACAATGTCAGAGGTACAGGAGTTTATACTGCGCCAAAGGCCACTACAGCAGCTGGAGAGGAATGCTACCACAACTACCATCACACAGGGTAAGATAAAAATTCCTTACCAAGCCTTTAAAACGTATATAGAAGCAGAGGAAGATATAGATGCTTTTCTCCAAGACTTTGAAAGACTGTGTGCCTTGCATAATATTAGCCCAGATGAGTGGGTGCCTATTTTAGCAGGAAAGCTCACAGGGAAGGCGGCGGAAGCCTATAGAACTGTACCTGATGAGGAAATTCGGAATTACCGCCGAGTAAAAGAAGTGATCCTGGCCCGATATGCAATCACGCCAGAGGCATATCGGCGACGGTTTAGAGACCTAAAGAGAAATGACAAGGACTCTCATGTGGAATGGGCTTGCAAGTTACATCGGGCCGCTCTGGGGTGGGTACAGTCTAATAAGGCTCGGTCCATGGAGGACTTACTGCAAATGGTGTTGTTGGAGCAATTCTATGAGGGGGTAACAGGCGAGGTCCAGGAATGGGTGAGGGACAGAAACCCTACCTCCCTTACCGAAGCTGCTAGGAAGGCCGATGAATACTTGGATGCACGCAGGCAGCAGAAACCAGCAGCCCCAAAAGCTATTTTTAAAACCTTTGGGGGAAACAGCTACAACCCAGCTCCACCGAGGCAACTACCACCACCACCACCCGCTGTACAGCCCCGGGTTCGCCAGCCCGCTTCTGGCCCCTGTCATCACTGCCAGAAGTGGGGACATTATAAAAGGGAATGTCCCCAGCTGAGGGATCGTTCTACCTGGATTCGCCCCGGCCCACCACCACCGAGAGCAGCCACCGCCCATCACTACCAAAATATAGTGGCCACACCATATGGGTCAGCTGTTCCCATAACAACCGTGGAACAGTGGGAAGTACTACACGAGGCGGATCCAGTCCAGGCCAATGCTGATAACAGACAACATCACAGGCAGACCGTATACTTGGAGGGTAAAGCAGTACAGGGCCTACGTGATTCGGGGGCTACCATCACCTTGGTCAAAAGTAATCTGGTCTCGGATGAAGCGAGACTAAGTAAAACTGTGGCCGTCAGGGTAGCCGGGGGAGCAGTGTACCGGCTACCTACAGCAAGGGTACATTTACATTGGGGAGCGGGGGCAGGACATGTGGAGGTGGGGTTGATGCCGCAGTTACAGGCGGAGGTT